AGAAGAGCTGTGAGGAAGTAAGCAGTCCTTACTACCACTACAAGCCGAGATGAGTATGAACCATGGTTTGACGGTTCATGCCGGTTTGGCCCTCCAGCCGCACAGTTATTCCGCTGGTGCCCTGGCTTCCCAGCCCCACCTCCTCTGGGAGGTGCCCACACAGAGGCAACAGCACAGTTTCCTGGCCCTGCCTCCTTTGACGGGCACCCATTCAGAAGTGGTGGCATGGCAGAATGGCTGCACAGCTGGCGTGCCGAACCAGCAGCCCGTGCCCGTCTGAGTCCTAATTTTAGAAATAGATCAGCAAAGTATCCTCTGCTGTGTCATCTTTGGGCAAAGTGGCGATTTTGCTAAGTTGGGGGCAGATGTTTATGCTGATCCCTTCTGCAAACCCTGTTAGGGTTACAGGCATAGAGATGCAAGAAATGTGGACATTGAGGGACTAGTATCCCTTGTCATTATTTTGCTCACAAGAAATGGGATCTACTTAAAGATAATTGGAGTTTTGAAGATTTTTAAAGTATTAATATTTGCATCTAAACAGACCACCTGCTAAGGTTCAGAGTTTCAGAATATTGCCTTGAGACATACACCAGGCATGAGCAAAATGGGGGCTCCAGATGTTACTGGACTACAATTCCTATCAACCAATGTTTAAAAAATGATGGGAGTCGAAATCTGACAACATCTGGAAGTCTGCTCTTCACCCTCCCTTGACACACACTGCAAAAACAGAGGGAGCCCATTGGTGTTGAGACTTTCCCTACCCTCCTTTCTCCTGCTGTCCTACATGGACCCATTGCTGAGTGGGAGCAGCAGGAGGAAGGACTCAGAGTTAAAAAAAATTCTACCCCCCTGCTAATTAATTCCTCCCATTAGCCAATCTGTAGGGAACAGCTCAATGAATCTTAGAAATGGGCAAAGTTCCAGAGCATTCCCCACCCCTCCACTTCCCTGCTGCTCCGATGCTTCCTGCTATTCACTGGATGTACCTGCCTTGGAGGGAAAAGGGAGAGAGATAAGGGAGTGGATCAGGAAATAAAGGGATCCATTTTCCTTTGATGGTTTACCTAAGAAAGGTGCTCATTCAAAAAGAAACATAGTGACTTCCCCAGTTATCAAGGAGCTTTCAGAGTCGTCGGGTGAATAACTGAGCCCAAATGGTGGTTGCAGGTTTTTCGGGCTGTCTGGCCGTGTTCTGGAAGTTTTTCTTCCTAACGTTTCACCAATCTCTGTGGCAGAAAGGTGCTCATTCAAAAAGAAACATAGTGACTTCCCCAGTTATCAAGGAGCTTTCAGAGTCGTCGGGTGAATAACTGAGCCCAAATGGTGGTTGCAGGTTTTTCGGGCTGTCTGGCCGTGTTCTGGAAGTTTTTCTTCCTAACGTTTCACCAATCTCTGTGGCCATGGGCATCTTCAGAGGACAGGAGTCAGAGCTCTTTCTGAGCCCAAACTTTGATTTTGACTTCCCCACCTGAAGACTCTTGCACCCTTTGACAAGGAAAGGTTGCTGCAACTGCCATCTCTATATAATCGCTTGGACGGCCAATCAGCTTGATTATTTGTATTTGATATATACCTCCTGCTGCATGCCTTGAGGCTGTAGTCTAGAAGGCCAGTTGTTTCTTTTCTGTGTTTGAAAAGAGCCAAAGCCATCTGTCTTTTAGGAGAGGGGCAGCATTGAAAAATCTTCATGAAAAACGTTTTGAGGCAGATGATGAGAGGGGCAAGAGAGGGAGAGGAAGGGAGGGAAAAGAAAGGAATGAAGAAAAAAGAGAGAAAGAAAAAGAGTAGGGGAAGGTTTTGAGGAAAATAGTGGAATGATAAGCAAAGCTGTATAGACACACAGAGAGAGAGAAATTGGGGGAAGACAGCAGAATAAGGAAGTGAAATACTAACAGCACCTTCTCATCCCTCCTGGTCATGCCTCTTCAGCCACAGGGTCACTTCATGCTCTCCTTCCTGTCCTTTGAGGTAAAGACGGTGGACAGGTGAGCTCAGTCAAAAACAGTGTTGGTCAGGCCCAACTAGAGCTGGTCAGGCCCAGTTGCCCGGCATCTGAGGCCCGACCAGCTTTGGAAAGGATGCCTCTGAGCAGTGCNTGCCGGGAGGGGACCCGGGGGGGGGGGGGAAGAGAAGAGAAGAGGGAGATTCTTGGGATGGAGCAACACAATCTGCCATTTCTGATCTCTGTCATCTAAGATTGTCTCCTTAGTGTGTCTAACGGAAAGACCAACTATGCTTTTCACCTTTCTGGTGGTGTTCTTGTTTTGGCTTGCCTGTGTTCATTGCTGGGGTTTCGCCCCGCCCGACACCGGCATGTGCCAGACCACAAATTATCCTTGAGGGAGTGGAACTCTTGAAAGGAGGGGCGGGCAGGTGACTCTCTCCTGCTGGCAAACAGAAATTCTGTCCCTACAGGAACGGGTAGACGGCTATTAGTAATCATGTGCAGTCAAGTCCATTCTGATTCACTGTGACCCTTTTCAGGGTTTTCAAGGTAGAGAATACAGTTAGATCCCTGTATCTGTAGGGCATCAGTTCTAAGCTATTGTATATATCATTTGCTATTACATTGTTGTAATAGCAAATGATATATACATAACATATGTATATATCTGGCTCCCTTTTATGGCCAGTTCTGGTAACGAAAACATGGAAATGTATTTCTCTAGCAAACATTATACATAGCATGGTCTCTGGCTCCCTCTGGTGGCCAGTTTTGGGATTTGTACTTTTAATGTTTTTAATATTTTCAGACTGTGGATAAGTGAATCAGCGGATACTGATCTCATGGATAAGGGAGTCCTACTATACTCAGAAGTGGTTTACCATTCCCTTCTTATGGGGGTTGCCTGGGACTGTGCAGCTTGCCCAAGGCTATGCAGGCTGGCTTTACTCACAGATGGCACAGTGCTAACCATGTGTATCACCACCTGAAGTTCACTCTGAAAAATGTACTTCATGATACAATGCAGTATCTGATCTCTGTCATCTAAGATTGTCTCCTTAGTGTGTCTAACGGAAAGACCAACTATGCTTTTCACCTTTCTGGTGGTGTTCTTGTTTTGCCTTGCCTGTGTTCATTGCTGAGGTTTCGCCCCGCCCGACACTGGCAGGCTGGCTTTACTCACAGATGGCATAGTGCTAACCATGTGCATCACCACCTGAAGTTCACTCTGAAAAATGTACTTCATGATACAATGCAGTATATGTTGGCCCTTAGACTGAATAATTTTGTCATTTTACCAACCTAAATTGTAAGTGTGAAAAATATAATTATAGTTATAATTGCACTGGTGTTCCTGTCAATTTATCGCATGTAGTGATTCAGCTCAATAGCCCATCCTCCTCTTCTGAAAACTCATTCATTCTTCCGAATCCCATTTATCTCTAATATTTCATGTTTATATGAAATATTATATATGTCCTGTTTGGACAGGAGAGAAGGTGGTCCATGCAGAGCCTTTAAGGATTTTCTGCATAAGCTTGAACTATTTGCTGTTTTTTCTTTTGTTTGGGTTTCTTCCCTTCCTAACATTTCCAATGGTAATTCCCTCCGCCACTTAGTTCCTGCTTCTCTTATACAGCAGATGTGCTACACTAGTGACATCACTTCTTATGAAGCATCTGCAGTAATATGAGAGGTAGAAGGTATCAAAGAGCATGGCCACTGTATAACTCTATAAAAGACTGGGGATACGTTGGCAATGGTGGGCATTATTTTTAAATTATATTAGCAGTGGCATTAAATGTCAATGTTGATGTGTAAGGTTTCTGGTTAAAAAGAAAGGTATACTTTTGTGTTATTGTACTTAAGAATTCCTTGTTATTTAGCCTTCCTTCAGTAACTAGCTACCTATGTGTGATTTTTAGGATTGTTATGCATTGCTGCTTTGACTGGGTTTTTAATATAACTTGTGTTTTCCATTTCTCAGAGTGGTATTTCTTCTTTTATTCATGTTTGAAAACTTATTGTTCTTACCTTCAAATGTTGTCTTTTAACAATGTAAACAACTGTTGTATACTTATTGTTTTCAGCTGTAAATACTGTCTTTGGTGGCGTAAACATATTTCAGATACATAAATAAATAATTGACAAAAGGCATTCACACAAGCAATGCCTGTAGTCATTGCTGATCATGTGGGGTCTAATCAGCAAGAAATCAATGCTACTTTAAAGAGGAAAAATAAAACTAGCAAACTTGTTTTCACTTTTAGGAGAGCCATATTGTATGCTGATGGGTTGCATTGTGTTGCAACTATTGTATTGTGTATATTGCAAACAAGAAAACTCATCAATTCTAACAGTCCTTTTGTTGACTTCTCTCCTTTTACAATATATTTTGATGAACAGCATACCTTTTATGTGTGAATATACAGTATCTGACTCTCATACTAATTAAATACTAAATTCAGATGGTGCTAAACTGCATACACTTCCTTTTAAAAGGAACTTTCTATGCATGGTCTTCTTCCCCAAGCCTGCACAATATCCAGTGTGTCTTTTCCAAGTAGTGGCTTTGTTTCTCTTCTATAGCACTAAACTGACCAAGAGGGTTTTTTAAAAAAATTAACTGGAGATATGCTTCTTTAAATAATAATCATAATTCTCCCACCTTTTAGCTCCTGAAAGTGTTCAGATTGCAATTAGGCCCTGGGTAAATGGCTAGCAAAAAGCCTGTGACCACACCATGGTCCTTTCTGGTTTCTGTTAAAGGAGAGCAAGAGAGGGAGAGACAGATGTGAAACCTTTTTGTGGAATTTTGCACGGAGTGAATTTTAATCACCAACAATTTGATCAGCTACTAGGAACCAGGCAGTGTCTTTAATAGAATGAGAATATGTTTAAACTGCATTATGCTGAAAGAGTACTCATGGGGAAGAAAAATCAATTACACCCCAGTATTTCAATGTGTTCTGAATGAGCTGTTTGCAAAATGAGACAAACAATGTTTTGCTCTCATCTGCCTTTTCCAATTTAATTATTTTCTTAACAGGAAGTGCAGCGTTGTACATCCGACATGAACATCACTGCTGAACATTCCAATCACCCCGACAACAAGCACAAAAACAGATACATCAACATTTTAGCATGTGAGTAATGATGGCCTTTAAGAAAAGCTGTTAACAACAATGACAACAGCAACTGTGCATCTTGTAAGAATGCCAGTGTGCTCAGCATGAAATTAGTTAGAGCAGCAAAAATGAGTTGTCATCAAAGGGACAAAATGACCTCCTGAGTCATTATGAAAAAAGATAATGGGGATAGGTTGACACTGGATTTTTTCCCCCCAGAATAACCAAGCCATCCAATCTAGAATAATAAATGTCCTTCTTCTCCCCCCCCCCACCTGCTTTCTAGTTTAAATAGATCTAGATATGATGAGTCCTGAAAAGTGGCTTATGGAAAAACTATTATGAATCAAATAATGTGAAAAACCCTAGACACTGGAATTTCCTCTCTTCTCCTCTGCAGCTACTTCCACAGCCCACAATTCTGTTCCAGGGGCTCTCCTGGAGATTTGAGGAGGCTTGGAGGTATGATGCATTCCATTGATGGAAGACTTCCATCAGCAAAGTAGATACCTAGGGACTTCACCCTAGGTGCTAATTTGACAGTCCCCAGGCATTATATTCATAAAAGGTCTGCTGCATTTTGGGCTTTTCCAGGAGACTAGGCAGAGACTCCTGATCACTTGCTGAGCACCTCTCCCACTTTTTTTTCTGGTCAGCAATGTATTTTCGCTAGTGGAGTGTTCCCCCTGTATCTTTTCTTCATATGTTAACGGATAGAAAGAGTTGGCTTAGTGTAATTCAGCTTGTTAGTTCTCTGGCTAGTGAATTCTACTCCAAAAAATTCAGAATTATTATTCCCTAATACCTTTCTTTTCTGTCCCTTTTTTGCTTCTGGCAGATGATCACAGCAGAGTGAAGCTAAGACCTTTACCGGGAAAAGACTCGAAGCACAGCGACTACATTAATGCCAATTATGTTGATGTAAGTTGCTTTTTGCTTTCTTGTCTTATTTTTTTGAGAAGTAACTGTCCTACAGAAAGATCAGAAGCCATTAGTGTTTGTAAACTTTTATTTTGCTTTCTTGTATTCAGCACCAAACTCTTCCAACATTCAGCAGGAAAGGCATCTATCTCTGTAATATATACATTATTAATACAGCTGCCATGTGGATACTTTCATCTTCCTTTGCATTGTGGTTTTCTTTGAAGGGTTACAACAAAGCAAAAGCCTACATTGCCACCCAGGGACCTTTAAAGTCGACATTTGAAGATTTCTGGAGAATGATTTGGGAGCAAAACACTGGAATTGTTGTCATGATTACCAACCTTGTGGAAAAAGGAAGAGTAAGAGCAATGCAGCTATTTAGTCGCCATTATTTGTCACTGCTCACCAGAAATGTATAGCTGTTTTTTTTCAGTTCTGTGAAGGAATAGAATTTGCTCCATTAACTATAATGTAAAATGTAGCAATGAACGGCTATAATTTTAAGGCAGGGAGTGGGGAACGGGTTAGCAGCGTTAGTCAGTTGCTACAGAAGCAACAGGATTTTGTGGCAACTTGAAAGACCAAGAAAGTTTATTTGACATGAGTTGTTATGCCCTCAAAAACTCACTTCCTCTCTACCACCCACTTCTTCAGACTCATAGCATGCAGCCTTAGTTGTCAGTGGAGGCTACCCTCCAGGTATCTTAGGAGCTAGACTGGAGACCACATAAGCAAAACTTGTTAGTTCTTAGCTGCCATAGCTGTGTAATAAGAGATGGCTTTTGTCATAGCCATTCCTTCCCAGGTCTGCAGCAGACGGATTGTGGGGGGGATTAGAGGGGTGCAGCAGTGGGCACAACCTCGGGACATCTGGGATATGGTTGTGGTTGATTACGAGTCTTAACAATGATGGTTGAACTGTCCTGAGGTCACAGAAGGGCTGGATAAGCTGAATGGCATCGGCTCTGGCATGATGCTCGAAAAAGGGATCAAAGAAAGACCCTGAGAAGGGTGCAAGCCATAGGAAACAATCTTAAAAGCGGAAGTACTAAGAAGAATTCCAACGGTTGTTGTGTTCCCAGCCATGTTTATGTATAAGCCACGAAGACTGTGCTCAGAGTGGCTGACTTTATAATGGGGAGCCCACAAAATAACACAGCACCATTAACAAAACAAAGCCAAAAAAAAATCAGTTATGCTTAAGCAGATCTATACAAAATAGCACCACAGTTCATCAATTCTGTGACATTTCAGAAATAATACTCTGACAATTCCTTTAATATAAGTGTAGAACATGTACCACTATACTACCCTAAGAGCTAGGAAAATATTTAAAACCAGGTCTACAATTCTCTGATCCAGAAGATGCTCTTAAGTCCTTTCACCCTAAAATCAACAAGAGGTCAGACAGGGAGATCAGGTCTCACCCCTGCTGTTTCCCAGAGAGATGGAGCATAAGGACAGGGAAAGCATCTGCAATGAATCATGTAGGACAGACTTCCATCCCTTGAAACCCACGGAGCCAATGACAGAGGCAGGGCTTCCCACTTAGCCTACTAATAGAATGTGTGGCATTGTTGTTCTCTCTCACTTATTTCCACTTACTGGGCTAGAAAAGAGAAATGGGATCAGGGCTCTGTAAGACAGCCATGTCCTCTCCAGTTGACGTCCTGCTGAGGTGCCACTGCTGTTGCTGGTCGTAGGCAAGAGAAGCAGGGAAATGGAGGAAGGGAATGGTGTGTGTGTGTGTGTGTGTGTGTGAGAGAGAGACAGAGAGAGAGTGAGAGAGAGAGTGAGAGAGAGAGAGAGAGGAGGTAAAGGTGACCTGAATCTGGAAGAACAAGGAGGGCTAAAGTTCATATATTAATGTGAATTAGCCAGCTAGATCCAGGTTTGCAGATCCTTAAATGCTTCTAAGCCTACATCTTTTAGCATGTATCAGAAACAGATTTTCTGTACCATCTTTTTTTTTGTCATCAGAGGAAATGTGACCAATATTGGCCAACAGAAAACAGTGAAGAATACGGCCACATCATTGTCACACTGAAGAGCACAAAAGTACATGCTTGCTACACAGTCCGACGCTTCACAATCAGGAACACAAAAATGAAAAAGGTGAGGGACGTCATGGCAGCCTGGCTTGAATGAAAAGTGCACAAGTGGCACGTTGCTGTTAAATATGACACACCTGGCCAGACAGTAACTCTTTGAGGAAATGCCAGCTTTGGAATTGTTTGGGACACAGCAAAGGGGTCTTAAAAACCAGGAGGATGGAATCATACATTTCTAGAACTTAATTAGAATAGAAAAACTCAGAGGTTGAAAGGCCAGAATAAGGTGGGATATGTTCTTTTGAAAGGTAAGGGTTAATGAAAGCTACTAGATCAGTTCAGCTTTTGTCTTTGTACTTCTGCTCTATAGCGAAGGTTCTTGATTCAGGCCATAAATCAGAATGTTCCTCTGAACATGCATGTTCTTGACCATAACTCAGAGACAAGCAGATCAAACAAATTGACAAGAATTGGGACTGAATATGTTTTCCATGAGTTTTATTGAGTGCTATAGAATTACTGGGATAAAAACCAAGTAGATTTCCACCATGCCTGGGGATCCCTATCCTTACACATGCTATTGGACTCCCAACTCTCATCAGAACTACTCCTTATGGTCAGTGGCCAGGGATGATGAGATGTGAACTCCTGATCAACCCCCAGAAAAAACTGTGATATGTCTTCTCTAGGCAAATAAATCTTGCAAGGTCTCCAGTAGGTATGGTTGCACCTTCTCTGAATAATGGATCAGTGCTTTAAGGCATTGGTTCCCAACCAGATGTTCTTCAACAAAAACTCCCAGAAATCGTGGACAGCAGAGATCATGGTGAAGGCTTCTGAGAATTTTGGTACAGGAATATCTGGGGACCCAAGGTTGGGAACCACTGCTACCAGGCATCTACTCAGTATAAAAATATGGCTTTTGATTAGTGGAATCTAATGAGGACCAAGATCTTCCTCTAATCAGTTGGTTGCTATAGAACTCTCTTACAATCCTTTTCGACAAATGAAAATGATAGGTTAAAACTTGCTTAATCTGTGAATACAGGTAATTGTCTTATACTGAATCAGACCTTTGATCTGTCTAACCCAGTGCCATCAACTCTGACTTGCAGCAGTTCTACAGGGTTTCAGATAGGATTTTTTCCTATCACTACCTGGGACCATGCTCTGGCACTGAGCTGTGGCCCCTTCCCAATACAGACCCTTTATTCCCTAATAGTTTCTCATTCAAGTATTAACTAGGTCCAGTTCTGCTTGGTTCCCAAAGTCAGACAAGATCAGCCCATCCAGGGTGATATGATTGTTCCAACATGATCCAGTCCAGTGCCTAACTAATGTATTTTCTTCCTGCCATGTGTTTCATGTGTTCTGGATCAAAAGGGGAACCCTAAAGGACGTCAGAATGAAAGGACAGTCATTCAGTATCACTACACTCAGTGGCCTGACATGGGTGTGCCTGAATATGCACTGCCAGTGCTGACATTTGTGAGGAGATCGTCTGCCGCCAGGACTGCTGAGATGGGTCCAGTGCTTGTGCACTGCAGGTACATCTGAGTAACCTCAGATTTCATTTTGTGGGCACCATGTTGCAATCGTTTCCTGTAGTGAAGCTGTCATTCACCATATTTGCATGTGCATTAGAAGGAGACCAAAGAAGACCTAGATTGGCACAGTAAAGGAAGCCACAACCTTTATTCCATGAGACCTGCGCAAAGCTCTTAATGACAGAACATTTTGGAGCTCGTTAATTCACAGGGGCTCCATAGGTCGGAAGCTACTTGACGGCATAACAATATGGTCAGTAAATCCTCTACAAGCCATCTCAAGAATCTTGGCAATGGAGGGAATGGCCATTCCCTGATGCTTTGGTGCCACCGAGACTTCATCTGAAGTTTCTGGAGTCCAAGTCCAACTTCCTTCACTGCATCAGCCATCAATGCCAATTTAAATCCCCTTAAGATGTCAGTAACTGGAAATTGTGCAATTTGTCACAAAACTTGGTGTTTTTCACTGCAAAGCAGAAATGGGCAACACATGACCCGGAGCCTGGGCCAGCCCCAAAAGTCTTTCCTGCAGCCCCTCAAACTTGCTTCCAGATTCCCTCCACTTTCATTGATTAGCTGGCACCTGCTACCATTGTATCTCCATTTCTCCTTCTTCCTCTCCCTCTAAATAACTCCCCTCCCCATGCCATGCCATGCCATGCCACCACTGGTAAATCCCCTTCTGTCATTTGCCCAGACTGCTCCTGAGGCTGTTACCATTGCTCCTTCTCCTTTAGACCTAGGGAATTGCAGCTACAGTAACTCATGATCATCGGTATGGGGGAATCTCAGCAGTCAATAGATCGTTCCCATATCACATCTCCTCCAGTACTTCTACAGCTATTTACTTGCAGCAGATTCCCAGCAAAATAATTCACCAGATAATTATTACCTTCCAGCTTTTCAAATGAACGACAGTTTTGAAGTGCTGTATTATTTTTGGCCTCATTTTTTCTAAAATTACCTTTGGTGCACTCCTGTGGGCAGAATATAATTTTTCAGTAAATAAGTACTTTCATGGTCTGGCCAGGCCAGATTAGGTCAGTCCATTTAATGAATGAATTCACAGGACTCCTTAAAATATGTTTTTGATACAAACTGAGGGGCTTCTTGCAAAAAGCAGTTTGTTCTACATGTATTTCCTGAATTTGCAGGCGTTTGCAATTACCACATAGTCTTATTTTTCAGAAAATCAGAAAATGAAAAATCTGGTAGAGCCCATATTCATCTGTCTTTGTATGTTAACCTTGGAGAGGATCAGTTCTCCTTGAATGTGAACCGTTTACTAAGACAAAACATGGAAATTTCCCATGTTTGATGTATTGAAAAGAAGAAGGATTATACCACAGTGTACAATATGCAAGAACTAAGCTGTACATTTTGAATTTATTACAGCCACTTCCAACCATAAGTCTAGAATTTTGTTTCTGATTTAAATGAAAGCTATTCCGTACGCAGTCAGCAAGTGAAACCTTGAGGAAAATACTTCACATTCCCAGGAGTTAAGATCAAATTGAAGGCTGTTTATCATGTATTGTAAACATTTCAGAGACCTAACCCTCGTAGAAAGGAGTTCCCTCCAAGCCGAACTCTTCTGCCCCCTTCTGCCCCCTCCTCTCCCCCAACAGCTTCCTGAAAATGATACAGAAAGGTGTGTGTAGGGGGGGTTGTCCTTATAGTTTAGGGGCCTAAAGAGGAAGAAGGGACACCCCCTCCCATTAGGTGGCAATTTGATGTTTGTATGAGAATCTTTTCACTCTCATCCTTCTGCACCAAAGCCCAACCATTGGGCTGAATGAAGAAGGATTTTTGCATCCTCCAGTTGAGAAGCTTTTTGGAACTTCTCTCCATCAGCCCCAATGTCATTATTAGTGAACCTAAACAAACGTGTGTATGCTTAGAAGCCAATGTAGTGTGGAGTGCCCCACTGGTACTTGGGATGTCTAGTTTTTCATCTCATATCATCCACAAAATTGACTGGGTGACCTTGGGCTAGTCATGTTTCCACTGCCTCAGCTACAGAGTGGTTGTTGTGGGACTGAAGTGCAGAGGAAGAGGGAAAATGTACACCACACCTTGAGCTCATCAGAGGAAACCTGTAACTAATGATAATACATGATAAATTGGTAATATGTTGGCCAAAATCCTGTTGTATTTTGGTCTGTTCCTCACCAATAAAGATCGGTAATATGTTGGCCAAAATCCTGTTGTATAAGGTAAGCAAATCATAGGTTTTTGGTCTGTTCCTCACCAATAAAGATTCCCTGCTGCAATTCTTGGGGGTATGCATACATGCACCAGGCCAGCATGCCCACAAACTCCCTAAAATTGTGGCAGGACTCTTTATTTACTGGCAAGAAATGGGCTGAAAGTTGATGACTTTGCCTATGTTACAGAACAGGAATTCAGCCATTGTATCAATGTTTGACCAAGGACAAGTGTTGTTTTCCTTGGTAAGTAACCAGGCTTTCTCTTGCAATTTTTTCCTTAGTGCTGGTGTTGGCAGGACTGGTACCTACATTGTCATAGACAGCATGCTGCAACAGATAAAAGACAAAAGCACAGTTAATGTTTTGGGTTTCTTGAAACACATCAGGACACAGCGCAACTACCTCGTCCAGACAGAGGTAAAAATGCAGAGGCAAACAGACAATTGTCACCAATTAAATCTTGCTAGTGTGAAAAGATTTCCACCAGAATATTTCAGCTTGTTACAGACTACAAGTTCCTTGAGTTTCTCTATTGATTCAGCCTGGAAGTATCTGCAGTTGTCTATTATTTGACCAGTTACGCAGTGCATTTAATAAAGTAAATGCTTCACAAGTTTTTAAAAGGAAAATGGAAGCACTAAACCTCATAGTGTCAAGTATTAAACAAAAATGAGACTTTTATATATAAACAGTATAATATATAACACAGAAGAATGTCAGCCATGCTAAAAATGAAAGAAGCATGGAAAGAGCAGGTCACAAACGGGGAGAAACAAACAAAAGTATGTATTTAGTTAGTATATGTCTATATTGCTGACTTAGTGCAAAGCACTACTCTGAACGGTTTACCGTAAGACAACATAACAGGCCCTCCACCCCATATGCCAATGTTAGACACCTCTAATTAGTGGACAATAAATTTTAAAAAAGCAAATTATGGCAAAACAGGGCGTACCTACTAACTTAATTTAGGTAAGGATGTTTTTGAATGCCTCTCGCAACAAGACAGTCTTCAACATCCTTCTTAAAACAGGGGTGGGCAATTAATTTCTATAGGGGGACCACATGAAAAATCTGAACTGTGTTCGGGGGCCGAACCAACTTTAAAATGAAACAGTGATGTTATGGTTGTTTTTATTTTAAACTCGTTAATCTTCACAAATACTAAAGAGGTTTTTTTTGCGGTATGTTAAAGATAAGCAACTGATCAACTTGAGACAAAAAGCTATAAATGGTTTTGATGTTCAAAACTGTCCACGGGCCGGACAGGAGCGGCTCGCAGGCCGTATGTGGCCCTCGAGCCGCACTTTGCCCAGGGCTGTCTTAAAAGAAGGGATGGAAGAGGCCTGACCTACTTCTGCTGTGAACCTATTCCATAAGGAAGGGGCCACCAACAAGAAGGCACAATTTCTGGCAACAGGCTTCTTTGCCTCCCTTGGTGTGGTAACCCGGAGAGGCAAGGCCTGTGAAGAACGTGTGGTACCGGCTGATGTTTGGAGGGAGGTAACAGAGCGTCTCTCCACAGAACCTGGAGAGAACCACAGATAACCCGGACTAAAGCCAAAAGCGTGCTGCCCATAGTGCTTCAAGTACTCTCTGGGCGGTTTACAAGTTAATTATGCAGGCTACACATTGCCCCCCCCCCAGCAAGCTGGGTACTCATTTTACCAACTTCGGAAGGATAGAAGGCTGCGTCAACCTTGAGCCGGCTACCTGGGATTGAACCCCGGACCGTGAGCACAGTTTTGGCTGCAGTACAGCGGTTTAACCACTGTGCCACGAGGCTCTAATGTTAGTCATATTATAAATATTGTTGCAAAACTAAATTATTGCCTCCAAAATCCCTCCATTCCACTGACAATGTTTTCTTTGCTCCTGTCCTAGGAACAGTATGTTTTTATTCATGATGCCTTGTTGGAAGCCATTCTTGGGAAAGAAACAGAAGTTTCTGCCAACCAGCTACACAGTTATGTTAATAGTATCCTCATACCTGGAATTGGGGCTAAGACTCGGCTAGAGAAACAGTTCAAGGTAAGCTCATTTTCTAAATCCTCAACCCCGGGCCTTTTGGAGTGGAAGTGACCCAGTTCAAGATATTGCATTTGGTGTTTAAGATGCCACAAGGCTTTCTCTTCCCTCTCCCTCCCTCTCTCTTTTGTCTGATATGCTTGCACAGCTATCTGATAGTTTCATAAAATACTATGGACTATACCTATATGAGAAACCTAGGTGGTCTTTCAAATTGGTTTGACTGTCATTGCCGCCCAGAGTAGACCTTTGGTCTAGATTGGCGGGGTATAAATCTAATAAAATAAATAAATAAAAATAAAAATGGCTACCTTTCCATGGACCAGGTAGGCTTACACCCTCAGCTAGCATTGTGAATCAGTGTGACCAAGAAACTATTTTGCATACTTTGGCTCCATGTTTACCACCAGGGACTATAGCTTGGGACTATCTCACATAAGGGATTTAAAGAGAACAGAGAGAGTTTTTGGTGTTGCATAGTGGGTGAGCAACTGGATGATCTTAAGTGTTTAAACACAGTCATGTTGCCCAACTATAACAAACCCTTTGGACAATTCCTGATTCTGAGGATGGAGCGTGTGAGGGGCTGATTGGGAGGTAGGAAGATGCCTTATGTTGAGTCAAACCATCGATCCATCTAGGTCAGGATTGTCAGCGGTGACTGGTAGGATTCTCTTCAAGATTTCAGGCAGGATTTTCTTCTAGCTCTACCTGGAGATCTGTGAGATTATCTGGTGGCCTCCTATCCAAGAACTCATCAGACTGAACCCTTCTTAGCTTCTAGAGTTTGGTATGATCAGGTGTTCAGAGTGGAATACTGGTCAGGGTCCAGGAGGATTCATTCCCTCTGAGTCCCACTCCTAAGCCAACAGATAGGAGGCCCTGTGTGGGAATTGGGCAAGTGACTGGAGCACCTTTGTTTGCCAGAGGTTATCTTCATGAGGCAGCACCAGGGGTCAGCAGGACTATCTCACTCATATCCAGATTGCACGAGGCATCCACTTTATAATTTGGTGCTATGGCAAAATATCTGCCATTCCCAATATTGCTACCTGAGTACCCAAGCTAGGGCAATGATCAGTCAGTAGCTGAACTATACAATAACCAGATCTCACTCTGTGCACACCAGTATAAACCCATTGCCATTTATAACACATCCCAGTCTATGTTTGGTCACTACTGCCATGACAGAAGGCTTAAAGAGACATTTTATTTGGATGCCTCACAGTCACCTTGGAGAGTTAGTGGAACTACCTCCTCCTTCCAGATGTGTTTACCACCTTTATTAATCACAAAGCAGCTACTTCTGGTTTCAGTGGCAGGTAGGTTCAGACTTCGAAGAGTCCAGGGGACAGAAAAATGCCCCCCCCGTCCTGCAACAACCAAACTGAAATGTATCTGTAATCAGAAGAGAAGCAAAATGTACATTCTCCTAGTTGCATTGTCTATATAACATCCAAGTTATGAAAAATGCAAGCAACTGTTCCTACTAAGTGTCTTACAGGCTGGTCACAGAAAGCTTACTTTCTATCACACAGCGAACCTGGCAAACAAACAAACAGCTGCAAAATAAGTGCTCTCACCTGCAGCATTCCTGTTCACAGCAGCCCTACAGAGGAGAAAAGATTCCTTTAACATGGCCTTGTCTTGGTATATTTTGAAAGAAAAGAGAGTTGTTGTTGTTTTCATTTCCTGACCTGATTCTGACCTTCAGATGCCTTGCAAGCTTTGGAATATATCTTCAGAAATAGTTAAATCAACATTGTCAGACAAGGCTAGAACAGAAAATATATTTTCTGCTTTCAATACATATATTCTGTCTTCAATATACAGTGGTGCCTCACTTAGCGATTGCTCCGTTTAATGACGAAGTCGCTCTATACAGTGGTGCCTCGAGCGTTTTTGCACTTCGTTTAACGATGGTCCCTATGGGCAATTTTCGCTTAGCTATGTTTGGGACCATGATTCGCATAGCGATTAAATTTTGGGTCCCCTGTTTCGCTTAACGATGGTTTAAACAGCCTCATGTTTGCTGTTTTTTAAATGTTTTCCTGTTATTTATAAAGTTAGAGTTTACTGTTTAAAATGTTTGAAATCATAAAGTGCATTTAATAAACCCTTTGTTAACCAAATTTGACTTTGTTCTGACTCTTTTTTAATTTATTGTTGTATTTTTTCCCCCATTGAGATGCATTGAATAGGTTTCAATGCATTTCAATTGGGGAACCGTGTTTCGCTTAGTGATGTTTCCTATGGCGATTTTCGCTTAAGGACGGCAATTTGTTCCTATTGGAACGAATTATCCGGTTTTCAATGCATTTCAATGGGAAACCACGTTTCGCTTAGCGATAAATCGCTTAGCAGCGATTTTTTGGAACAAATTAACATCGCTAAGCGAGGCACCACTGTATATTGGCTACGCGTGGGTATGTATTTTTTGAAAGAATGACAAAGAATCTGTTTTGCTCCCATTTTATTTAAATCTCCTAGCTGGTGATGCAATGCAACGCAAAATACGTGGAGTGCTTCAGTGCTCAGAAGGACTGCAACAAAGAAAAGAACAGGAACTCCTCCGTGGTGCCATGTAAGATCACATCTTCAAGTCTGATTGCTGCATAAATTCCTTCTGCTTAAATTCTGAATTACGTTTGTATGAAGCGACAGATGCCCTGAATGGGTTTGCTGTGTTGAAGTTCTTAAATGTAAATTGTGGGCTCTGATGCTGGGAACAAGTTAATGTATTCCGGCACACAAATACAAATCCAAAGTTTCAGAGTTCATAGATATTCAAATGAGAGTTTTTATGTTTAAAATATGTTCAACAAATGTAGTAAGCCAACTTATATTTTAGGAAATATCTTCTAGAAATTGTCTCAAGCCAGGGCATGTGATGCAAGGCCAGGGATTATTCCCTGTATGGCCAAGGTGTAGGGCAAGTCCCTTTTTGGATTAGAACTCCCAGAATCTACCAGCTTGCATGGCCAGTGAAAATGTGTGGCCCTCCGAATGCTGTTGGAGAGCAACTCCTTGTCCTTCACTGTTGACCGTATGGCTAGAGCTGATGGGTGTTGCCTTCCCAGGGCTTCTCTGAGGGCCGGATTTCTCATCCTTGCACAACATGTGGGGCTGGAGGGAGGCTATTTGTGGAGGAGGCTCAACAGGGAAGGAGCGGGGAGGAATCCGGCCCTTGCTTTGCATTTCTTCTGTGACTTGGCATTAGATACGTGTTTGCAAGCTAGCATGTCGGATGTGGTTCTGGCTTCCAGCAGCCCACAGCTACCCCTAAAGGCTAATCCAGTAATAGTTCTCAAACTAATGAATGGCCCGTGTGTCTTGGTGCAATGTGTGCAGAGAGGTGCACACTCACAGGAGCTGCACTCTAAGCCCAAGTTACCGTTGGGGAATTCTTAGGATCTCCTCCTCTCCTAAGTGATTTGGTGCACCTCATACAGAAGAGAGATGTTGGCATTCTGGGGATCGTAAGAAGACCAACATTTTGTTCCTGAAACTACAGTCATCATACAAACATCCCGCCCTGCCCTGCCACCTTTCGTATCATTTGTTTTATACCAGTTCAGAATTACTTATTGTGCCTACACGGATACAGGGAGAAGTGGGCATTGTGTTACTGTGTTGGTACTAGGATAGCATAGTATGAACTGTTTGATGCAGAGTTTTTTGTTTCCATGTTGCAGCTGAGCGAGCAAGAGTGGGACTAGCGCCATTACCAGGAACGAAGGGAACGGACTACATTAATGCCTCTTATATCATGGTAAGCAAGCCAACATTTCCCTCCATGCGGCTCAATGGAAAGCAACCAATTTGGTCTCTAGAGGTTATTGCAAAAATTTCCGCCTTGTGTTCCAGAGAACATTGTGTAACACACTCTCCACCATCATAGGCTCTGCTTAAAAATAGAATTGTCATTTTTATGACTTAAAAATTTAAGGACAGAACACACATTCATGGTTCACAGAATGCCCAGCTCTTAGCACCCTGCTAAGTCGACATAGGATGAGTTCAGCCTTGTCTTCTAATTCTCATTTCCTTGTTAACCCTTCATCAATGCAAAGGTTTACTACAGTGTGTCACCTATTGCCAGGAATGAGAGGATCCGGCCAGAATGTCTCCCATTCTGAGTAATAACCAAGATTCTGCTTGTTATGAACCAAGAGCTGTGGAATAGTTGAAGGGCTCATTCAGGAATCAAATCCCTGCAAACCCAGCTCTGTGAGTCACATATGCAAAAGGAATGGGCCATATCCTGTATTTCTAACCCTTATGGTAATTTATTAAAATGGGCAATGCATTGTTTTCAATGTTCTCATTGGCTGAAATCTTGTTTCTGCAGGTATCATTTCATGTAAAATTATCAGGTGTTTACACTGAGACAACAAGGTTTTGAGCAATTGGATGGTGCAATCAGTCATGTGACACCCATTGTAACCTTTGCATTTCATAGACAGCTCTTCTGCCTTGGCACTATTCTAGTTCATGCAGGTATAATGTCAGGTTACACTTGTGTAGCCGTGGTACAGCATTGCAGTCACTGTGGGTCATCTACAATCTCATCCTACAGGAATTTTTAAAAATAATAATAATACATCTTGAGTGCTACTTGTTTCATCAGAAACTAAGTGAATTATTAAGGAATGCATTGTACCTAGTAGCACAACCCTGGAGCCCATTATATTAAATTGATATAAATACTAGCTAGCTGTACCTCTTCATATTGGTTTCCACATGTGCCCTCTGTACTCAGCAGGTTGCTGTTCTTGAAGCAAAGCAATCAGTTCTATGGTACGTGTATGTGTGGGGAAAATATTTTCCTTTTACATGTTGTTAGGACAAATTAACTCAGCAGGGAGCTTTAAAAATGTAGCAGTCTAGTTTTGTCTGTTCTCATCCATGAAGTTCAGTGTTCCCAGTTATGAACCTATGCACTAACAGCTACATCTGATTTTCTGCTTTCAAAGGGTTACTACCGGAGCAACGAGTTTATCATAACGCAGCATCCTCTGCCCCACACAACGAAAGATTTCTGGAGAATGATCTGGGATCACAATGCTCAAATCATTGTCATGCTTCCAGATAACCAGAGCTTAGTAAGTGATTTAATTTAATGATGTAGCACAGCAGACAGCAAGAACTGGTTCACTTAGCTGTATGTTCTGGCTGCGTTATGATGGAAAGTGTAGTGGATGTCTCCGTTAACAACTCCATAGTCCACAAATGTCCAAGGAAGCCTGGAAAAAACACTGCAAGAGGAAGAAAAACTGCCAAAACCACCCCTTGCACATAAAAGTGTTTCAGTTCTGTGCACTCCTCTTGTGAAGGCAAAATCTATCCACCAAGCTTTTTATGGGGGAAGGGGGGGAGAGACTGAATCCTATCATTAACAATATATGATAAAGTCCTTTCTTTTCTCTGTCCCAATTTCCTACCATTCAACTTCACCGATAACCCCACTGAGTTTTATCAGTATGTATGACAGAGAAAGAAAGAAATCAGTTATTCCACACTATGTACTGTTGTGCTTATAGTCCTTTCATACAAAGTATATTATTTCCATTAAATAATATCTCAGCTGTTATCCTGACATTCTGCAAATTTGTTCTGTTGTAGAAAAACAGATGTAAACAGTGGCCAAAATCCTGTTGCTTACAGTAGTAAATTGCACTAGAGTAGGCCTACTGAGGGACGTGGTGGTGCTGCGGGTTAAACCACAGAAGCCTCTGTGCTGTAAGGTCTGTAGATCTTCAGCTGTAAGATTGAATCCACGTGACGGAGCGAGCACCCGTCGCTTGTCCCAGCTCCCGCCAACCTAGCAGTTCGAAAGCATGCAAATGCGAGTAGATAAATAGGGACCACCTCGGTGGGAAGGTAACAGTGTTCCGTGTCTGAGTCGCACTGGCCATGTGGCCATGGAAGATTGTCTTAGGACCAACGCTGGCTCTATGGCTTGGAAACGGGGATGAGCACCGCCCCCTAGAGTCGAACACGACTGGGCAAAAATTGTCAAGGGGAACCTTTACCTTGGCCTACTGAATCAGTGGAAATTTGGTGAGTCACCTCCACTGTAACTACCAGTAATTCAAATGGTACTTACAAAGGAGACAGCTCATCAGATCCTAACTGCTTCAGTGTGCCCACTCTGAGTGACTTTAGCAGCATAAATTGCAGTAAAAGGAGACCCATTTGAATCAGTGGAATTTACAGTGTTGACTCACTAAATCCTTATTGATTCAATGGGCCTATTCTAGGATGATTTAGTATGCTAAGTAACAGGATTTTGGCCAGTGTGTTATTTCACATTTCTTTATTTCTTAAATTTTTATACTTCCCCATTAGTGCAAAGCACTATTTTAGATGGTTAACGATCATTCCAGCTTGAACATCAGGGATTTCTTACTACAAGTTTAGATTTACAAGAACTACTGTTGCATTTCTAAATATATATATATTGCTTTAAAAGCTGAAATTCTGTTGTGCTGTTAAGCAAAAGGTGCAGTTTTTGGAGGCGAACTGCTGCAAGTTAAGGAATCTCCATAGACATGCTCTGTTGCACTCCAAAATGTGCAACTTGGTGTGCAACAGTTAGCATCTATGGCGATTTCTTCATATGAGGACATTTGTCTCATATGTTACACCTTTTGCATAGCACTGTAACGGGATTTCAGCCAGTCTTTGAGAAAACTTATTTTTGGTTTTCACAGTTTATTGGAATCTTCCCAAACTTTAAAACATGTCTCATGAGTTCCACTTTGTAATTTTTAAAAAAAGAAAAATGGATCTGTAAATCTAGAAGTCATTATTGAGATAGCCTCAGTCTGGTTCACTTATTGTCAAAGTTCAAGAAGAGATGGATTCTCAAAATGCGAAAAAAGGCCAGGCTTGTTCATTAAAACCTTGCAGTGCATTTTAGCCAATATATTATTTTGTGGTTGCCTTCAGGGGCAATAAAATGCATTGGTGAAATGCAGTGGAATGTTTTAAATATGAAAAATTTTTCATGTCTTGAGACTCTGTCTACCCTGGATTTCATGGGACTTCCTATTTCTTTTATTTTTTTTTTCAAATATCTATTTCTTCACATATCTGCAGGCAGAAGATGAGTTTGTCTACTGGCCAAGTCGGGAAGAATCCATGAACTGCGAGGCATTTACTGTGACCCTCATCAGCAAAGACAGGTTGTGCCTCTCTAATGAGGAGCAGATCATCATCCATGACTTCATCCTCGAGGCTACCCAGGTATATAAAAAATCCTCCAGACGGGAACCTGGATTCTGAATTACATTCAAAGCACCACTGATGTCAGTTAACACTGGAGTTGAGTGATTTTCAATGAGAGTGGCTTAATATCTCCATTTGGTCATGGTGAACTTGTTATCAGCTACACTCCTTCATCCCAGTGGTTTTCTCCTGTCATACCCCAGGATTATGGTTTCCCCACCCCCAGTATGCCATTTCCATTGAAAGCTGTAATATTCCAGTTTGATCTGATCCAGAAGTGAAAATGCTTCTCAAGCAAAGGCTTGATATTTTTTAAACGAGCTTACTGAGTTCCATGCCCAATTGCTTCCTTTAGAAACTAAAGGTAAATATCACAGGCAGTTCCCTGTAGTTGTCACAGAGTTGTGGAAAGCAACTGATATATAGACCACACATGGTCCAGATGAGAAGAACTTTATATCATAGTGTTGTTGAGAAGGCAGCATTTCTCCTTCAGAGATACTAGCTTCTCTTGAGCATTCAGTGCAAGTTCTGGAAAATTAGAGACTCAAGCATTTAATCGAAAAGGTTTGCGCTTGAGTAGAGACATCTGTTTTTCTTTATGCTGTGAGCTGCAGCACCTATCTAGGATCACATTTATTTCCAAGTAGGCAAACTAGTAGTGAGCTGTCTGCTCCCTGCAATGCCTTTGGGCCTTTTATTATTCCCACACTGATACATGAGTATGTTCACTGCAAGACCAGGAAGAGCTGCTAGGGAACAGATGGCAGATTATGAAAGACAAAGCAGAACAGGAAAAAAATTGAATAGCATGAGCTATCAACAGACTCAACTTTTAACTCAGAGCATATTTATCAGATGATGAGACCCCCGCGCAGCGTGAAAATAAGTAGTATTGCAGACCTCATGTTGTCCTATATATATATATATAGGATCTCTGGATAGCTGGTAGAAAGGCAGTCTTGCCCTTACGAAAGAGGAATAAGTTATTGCTCTTTTACATTTGTTTTCCATCCCAATACAGTGGTGCCCCGCATAGCAAGGTTAATCCGTTCCGGATTAACCTTCGCTATGCGAAAACATCGCTGTACGGGGCAGGAAAAGCCTATTGGAACGCATTAAACTTAGTTTAATGCGTTCCAATAGGCGCCAAAACTTACCCCTCCAGCGATGTTTTCGCGGTCCGGCG